GGGGGGGGGAGATAATGTACATTTGCAACACTTGTTAATGCTATTTAGAAGAAAAAATGTCTATCTTAAAAAAAAACTTGCTTTTTATGTTTGCCAGCTTCTTTCAAAAATTAAAACAAAAATCGACTTCTATACGGGGTAGATTCATCTGACAAACTTGTCTAATAGTATATCAATATACGATTATATTCAAATTTACGAAAACAGGTTTTAACACAATGTATGTGACTGATGACAAATACATTCTCAAGTGATCTCACTGCGTGTAGGCCGCGCTGCTGACAATAACTTAAATGTTACACCGAATTAAGTTATTGAAAGCCGTTTGAAATTGTAATTTTGTTGTAGTAGGTAGTTTACCAATAAAACATTAGAATTTCTTTCAAAGAGAATGTGCTTTAATCTGAATTTTACTCATAGCAATTTGCATCATAAATTAAAAATACAAGATTAGACAATGTGACAACCCTAGGTTGGTGATCAAAGAAAAACACCAAGTTTATCTACGACTAAATTTAGAAATGCATTACATAGGGGTATCTCGCAATCAGACCGACATTCCACAAATAGCTAAAGGCACGCGCGACACCATAGATTGGATAACAGTGCTGCAACATTAGCGCCGGAGAAATCGTACGCGACGAGACCGGACAACTTTCCCGCTACTCGTTCAGTGTTGCCATTTCAAATAATACTATTAAAATGGTAGAAATACATATTCTATCTAAACTTAAGAATCTTCCTAAAAAAACTATATTTGTATTACTTGAATTATTTATTTGTATGTGTAATAATTTTGCTTGTAACAATTTTAATTATACAATGATTAAACGGAAACGATGAATCAAAGTAGTGGAATTTGATAATGGTAAAGAAAACATTTCTGAGTTTAAACTATGCCGAGTTATCGATACGTCATTACGCTTAGTCACGCCGGAACATGGCAGGTGATTCAAAGAGCGAATTAATTATTTACCTAAATTAAAATTTTATATAGAAAATAGAAGAAAGTTATTTTAAAAAAAATCAATCAATTTGACTATAGAATGAGGAAAGTGTAGAGAAAAAAGCTCGTTTTTATGGGCAATGTATGTTAGTGGCTGTGTATAGTGTTATGCGGCACGTGCCCAATACCTCACAACTGGCACTGCGCATACCTGTCGAGAGGCCGCGTTTGAAAGGGTTATGTAACAAGTGCGCACGCGACCGACGACGCTTTCCTCCCGGTAACGTGTTAAAGGGAAAAAGGAATATACAGGAAAATTAAACAAAATGCCTTTAATATCGCTCCTATATCGTTAAAATTATAAATAAATATTTCTTCGTCGTATTCACAATTTTTTTACTTTCATTTTCATCTAATACATGTAAAAAAATATTTATTACATCAAGTACGATTAATCCCCGATGTTGTCGCAGACAAAACCACAGGTGTAACAAAAGAAAGTAGAACGATATCGATATGATCTTGCTTTTACTTTCTATAGAGGATTTTTGAACTACTCCGATAATTATAATCAACAGCTACACCAATTTAATTTGGAGTAATCATTAATTTTTGTAGTTTAATTTTCCTTATTTCATGGAATCAACAATTTAATAGACAATTAAAATCTGACCGTTAACGGTCAACATTTGAACACCGCCATTGTAGCCGCCGCACACTGACTCATCGGCCACAATAGACGGCTATCACTACAAAAGAAACAAAAAACATCAAATAAGATGCTTACTGTGACAGAACGTCTGGTGTATCGATTATGTAACTACTTACTGTTACAACTTGAATAAGTTATTTTTATACTAACACTAACTTATTTAGAGAAATTTAAACATTTTCATTTGAATTATATTAACAAGTTTAAGAATTCCAACTTTGATACTTGGTACTTAATATAGTTTGCAAAGCTACACAAATAATAACTAAAGCAAATCATTGCTCAATTCCGAAGTAAATAACGATAAGTGAAACTAGTGCGTTTGAATCGAGTGCAATCGCTGGAGCACACATTATAATGCAATAACACGCAGCGAGATTCATTGTCATTAGATGTCTTGAGAGAAAGAAACTAATCGCTCATGATGGGTGACACCGACGTAAACTGGAATATCAGATCACTGGATCAGAATGGAAACGCTTCATTGTTGAATCTTGCTGAAGTCGATTACGTTCCTAATTTGAAAAACAATGTTTAGAATACATTAAGATGTACTTTTAGGTTAGTTGAATCCATAAAATTTGCATTAATAGATTCACTCATACGCTGTTGGAGAAAATATAACTCAATTGTTAAAAGTCAGAGCATTAATAATCAACATAAAACAAGAAACGTTAATTGATGTAGTCATTAATTCTTTGAAGCAATGACCAATACTAATTTAACGTTACTTCTGATACAAATCAAATTACTTCGAGAATATTTAGCTAGAAGTACCAGTAACAATAAGGTTGGTCAGTTTGTGTGCGTATTTATCAATAAGCAGGAGTGGAACGGGCGGTGATTCAGCGACTGTAGCCACATCACATGACAACTACGGAATGGATATACACTGCATCGTGGACAGTGAACCTTTACCTCGACCATTTACTAATGACCAGTTATTTTCTAAACTACACACAAAAGTTAGAAATTATTTATCAATCAACTTTTCATTACACAGAGTTAACACATAAACTAGAGGATCCATAAAGCACAAATCAATTTCTAAGTAAATGGAAGATACAAGTAGAAGAACTAACACAAGCCGATTTGTTAAAAAGAAGCTCAATTTCGCGCGACACGTTAAATCTAATTAAGATTGCCTTGATTCCAATCGACATAATCTCTTAACTACAAAACATTGTTTAAATACGCTACAAATACAGGTTAGAAACTGTGATACAAACTTTGCAAAGGTAAAGTTAATAAGGATTCAGAAGATCGATAAGGAAAAACCATAAACCTGTTTGCAAGTGTCTATTCATTCAATCATCCGATATCACAAATCATTAACTAGACAAACACTAGATCTTACAACATGAACAGATACGAAACAGGTCAAAAGGATACGGTACATAATTTCATATTATGAAAATATTATGAAAATTAACAGTAGGTATGTTAGTTTGAATTATTGGTACGCTATGAATCTTGACAAGACATATTCAAAAGAAAGTATCGAATAAAATTGACCTTAGTGAATATTCATAAAGCTTTTTAAGTGTGACAAATTTGACACCGTCCTCGATGATAAGAGATGAGGGTTATTGCCTACTTGCTGACATACCGGTTGGCATTGCGTTACCGGGTCAATGTCGGAGGATAAAATAAAGGAAAATAACACACTAAAGTTTGTCAGCAAAAACAAAATGACGGAAACATGTTGCGTGTCGAATAATAAACATTTCCACGTAAATATTTTTGTGCCAATGCTGATGTTTTAGCGAAAACAGTTAAGAGTTACAAGGATTTTAATGAAAGTCCGGTTACATGAAACATTAACTGAAAATAGACTGTTGTATGCAAAGTGGAGCGTCTCGAGCGGTCAGTAAATCACAAGGCGCCGGCAACAGTACAAATTGGCGAGCGCGCAACAAACTTGAACTTGGGGCATCCGCTAAATATAAATTATTGCGTACTAGCTCGCAGTCGGACCGTAAACAACGTAATAGTTAATAAAAACATTACAATTTGTTGCCGGCATAAACATAAACTAGATAACTGTTGTGCGAAATTAATCATTATCAAAATTTGAAGCTTCGTATCCGGTATAAAAACTTTAACCTAACTGATTAAATTTCTTTTTTTTCTTAGCCTTGGAATAAAATGTTAGAGATACTTGTTTTATGAGACACTACTAACCTTCTTGTAAAGCTTTATCCATGTAAGGTCGCCTTTAGAGTCGGTGTACTGGAGGCCGAAGAACCAAACCTCGCGCAGTCCGATCGTCTTCACCACCTGGTCGAACAGCTGCTTGCCTGTCGTCGTTTGCTGGATCGCGAACTCCAGTTCCGCGTCCATCGTCGTCACGCGGACGTTCATCTGTTACACCAATATACATTGTTATTTACACAACATCAATAACATCTTATCGAGAAATGTTACGAAGATTTTGTAAAGAAAGTGTCCCTTAATCTATTTTGATCAATTAAATGCTAACGTTTTTTCTTTGTGTTTTGAATGAGATGAATCAGTAATATTGACGGATTCCATATTAGTAAAATAAAAAGTAATGTGCTACAATCATCGTTTCGAAATTTGGTTTTACCGATAAAATTTTGTTCAAACCAGATGTCAGAGGGGAGCAAAAAAGGAGATTATTAAATTTAACACAAAAAGCGCATCTATTGCAAACGGGATGCGCTACAAAAATAAACGAGGGAAATCGTGGCCGTTTATAGAGTGCGCGCTAATTCTGTATCGTTGGACAGCCGCCAAAACGGATGTGTTGTTCCGAGGGCAATTATGTCATGGATATCTGTTATTGTCGTGTCAAAGACAAAAATAAAAGCGTCCAAGCCAATAACCTAAAGCATTAGAAGACATGGATGAACACACATTCTATTTTAAATGGTCTCTAAGACGATGAGCATGTTGTTTTCCTTTCAAGTTTTGATCATAATGTGTACCTGGTTACTAGAATTGCACACCGATGTGTTACAAATTTTAGATCTGGGATTTAAAAGAACATTAGTGAGTTTACGTATGTTTGTATGAGGGTATAGCGTTATCGACTCTTTTGAATTCGTGATAAACCAGTTTATAACCTCGCATTACGAAGTATTTAAGGAATAAACACAGAACCGCAGAGGTCGTCAGTATCGAACGCATATGTTTATATCGCGGAATGACTCATGCAACTGAGTGCATATTTATTTTCGAACCAGTCAGTATCAGGCGCGTGGGTCGAGTAAATTTTCCTGTGTAACAAGTGCTTTCAATAACTAAGCTTGTAGCAAGGTAAAAACAAATGTTTTACAATCTCATTGCACCGGTAAATGCTTTATTCAATTTTCTTTAAGGGCTCAGGAATATTGGAATTATCATTTTATTACAATTTTACAATCGACTGCTCTGAATACTAGGCAACGTGGTAGTTATTATGATATGGTAACAAAACAGGTTTAAAGGTAGATGCAGACAGGCACTCGGCATTGAACTTGACCCCACACTCGTATGTATGCAGAGATCAAATCGTGATAAAGATTTTTTTAAATTGAAATGTATTTTACAACCTAGTACGCCAATAGGCCGTTTACCTAACACAAATTAATACAATCATATATAAAAATTCAATATTTCTTTCAACTTATATCGACCAATTAGAATTATAGTTACGTAATAAACGCCATTTGAGTATGATTTAGTCTAATATGACAAAGAGTAGGCAAACACAACAGTGGCAGTTGATTTGAAGCGTTAAAAAATCTTTCAACAGCTTTTGATATTCTTGCATTGTTCTATTACCTATAAGGAGATAAGGACTTTATAGCTCAAGTAATAAAAGCCGTAATCTTTTAGCGATAGGTAATTCCGGCGTACGTCAGTGTAAATCTATCGACAATGCAGGAGATGAGATCTGCCTTGTGCCTGTGCGATACAATGCTCGCCGCGCGGCGTCGCTTGCTCTAACGCACTCGAGGTCAATGATGAACCATAGTATCTCCATTATTTATTTAAGGATATTACAGAACGATATATTTTGTATGTATACAGTAATTTTATAACAACAATAATGATTTTAAATATAAAATTTTGATATAGTTCCTAAAACTAAATACTAGTGTTTGAAAGCTGGTCCGTGTCGCCCGCATCATACTATTGTACAGATTACGTTAAACGCATTGTTGTATTATCAAACTATTCCAAATGAATGGCGGTGTTTTTTGTCATTAACTAAGTGGGACACTGGCACTAATGGGGAAAAACGTGCGTGCAAAGTATGACGATCATTATTATTGGGGACATTAAAAACTACGGTATACACTTTACCATGTCTTCTAATTATTTTTATTCAAGAACTAGCTCTTGCCCGTGACTGATATGCCCGTTTATGTCAGTTACCCTTTAGTGAAAGTTCGGCCGATATCTACCCAACAGTTTCGGAGATTACCCGGACAAACGCACTTGCTGACAGACAGACAAAAGAAAACGATTTTCGTTATCAGCAACGCAGTTAAATCATCTTCCCGAAATCTGAAATTTTTCTTTTGATATCACAAACGGACACTAATTTTATTATATGTATACTCGTAGATATAAATTTGCACACCACTACGAAGGTTAAACTTTTTCGACCATATTTGACTACTCAAAAATTTGTGAAAACTTACGAAACCGGAAAAGAGTCTAAGTATGTAAGAGCTGTTCAAAATTCATGAATTCTCAGGTCAGTGTGAGTGGAGAAAATTTTCCGATACAACGCGTCATCTGTCATACACTCGAGAACTATTTGACGAGCCCTTATCAACACCATGATAAGTGTATTAAGCGTGAAATATACAATAATAAAAATCCGTTTCATCTCAAGCATAAATCAAATTAATTACAGACCTACCGCAATAAAATGAAATAAAAAAAAAGATAAAACATATTTGTCTACTGTTGTTGTTGTTATTTTTCTATGTATGTCGTGTAAACCTATAATTAGGACAAATTATCTGCATGTTAGTTATTGTATTGTGTAAAAATGTATGTGTTATAATTTTGTTCTGTTGGTTAAATAGTAAATCAACTCACTGTTTTTTTATTGAAAGACAAAAGGGCGATAATGGGGTAGATAGATAGATAGACCCAATTTTCTACTATTGGCAGCTTTTTGTACCAAAAAAAGTATAATATACATTTTTATACATACACTGGAATCATACCAATATTATAAATGCGAAAAGATATGTTAGAGTTTGTAGCCTAAACGGCTGAACGGATTTCGTTGAAATTTGGTACAGATGTAGAGTCTGGAAGAACACATACTCAGTTTTTTTTTAATCCACGCGGACGGAGTCGCGGGCGAAAGCTAGTATAATATATTTATTCCGATAAGTTAAACCGCGACATATAGTTAAAGCGATAATCGAAAACCCACAATTGCCGTCGACGTGCGGCGTGTCAAGGCGACTGAGGCCGCCTGCCAAGGTGCTACATACATACGTGTAGAGGAAATTCAAGACGTATCCACGATAATTTAAACGATTGTTTTTGTCCTTATCAAGGTGAAATTGAAGTACAACATGTTCGTTGAAAGTAACGTTACTAACCATTTTTATTACTGCTATTCAAAAGCAACTTTGTTAAAGTTAGGATTCAGAATTATATCCTACGAGCTGTTGCCCGCGACTTCGTCCGCGTGGTATTAGAAAACATACGAACTGTATAAATTACAAAAAACTACGTATCCCTCGGGAACCGGACATTTCTCTGGGATGAAGCTTATATCATGTGTACTCCAGACTTTGTTTTATATCTGTGCCAAATTTCAATAAGATATGTTGAACCGTTGCAGAATGATCGAGTGAACATTAAAAAACTAAATTAATGAATCCCACGGGAACCGTAACTATTCCCGGGATAAAAAGTAGCCTATGTGTTCTTCCAGGCTATGCTCTAAACCTGTGCCAAATTTCATGGAGATCCGTTCAGCCGTTTAGGCTACAAACGCTAACAAACATCCATCCATCCATCCATCTAAACTTTCGCATTTATAATATTAGTAAGAAGTAAGATATCCCATTAAGTATGGTTTGAATTCAGCGATTTCTAGTTTAAATGTAGTAAGTAAGAGGTATTAAGTATTTGAAGAGTGCACTGCGACGGAGATACGAAAGATGACATCATGTCTCAGTCAACACAAGCACCGATATAGCTGGCCCGCACCTGCACACCATCCTAGACGTAATCTCTATGGGGACAGATGCGATAATAGCTTGCAACATTTCGCACGATGATGTAATTACTTGTACAGTAACATTAAGCAAGTTATATGGTCGCCATATGTTAATATTCTAATTATAGCATCAAAACGCGCTGACAACATTTGCTGATTTGATGATTTGTCAGTAAACTATCTACCGACTTTATAACTAGCCGTTGCTCGCGACTTCGCAGGCGTGAATTTAAAAAGAAACCCATAACGTAGCTTTTTAAAAAAGTAAGAATTTTTGAAATCGGTCCAGTAGTTTTAGAGTTATTTCAATACATACAAAAATACAAATCTTTCCTCTTTATAATATTACTATAGATTTAAATGCAGTACTCTTGGTAGGTATATTTTGTTGATTAAAAATATCAGAACAAAGTTGTTTTTATTGATATTAAAGAAAACTTTGTGAACTTATTCACCAGATAAGTTTAGCGCCGATCAATTGACTGTCAAAACACGGAGGCATTGAAATAATTATTTTTGTATCATCTTTCGAACAAATTTCAATAAAAAACAATCTTCATAAAAAGCTGTGTTCAAAGCTTATATTACCCAGTGACCTCCAAACGTAAATATACAAATGCTAATTAAAATTAACTGCAAAATGTGAAGAAGTAGCTTTACAATCTTTAATATTATTTACCAAACTTGAAAAGTTAGGGTCCGTACAGACAGAGCAAAGCAGATATTTGGTCGCAAGTAAAATTGATTTTTATACGATTAAAGGTTTAATTTTACTTCCCACATATTTTCTTACTAAAAGCAATCGTAAAAAAGACGAGTAAAGTAACAAAAAATATTATTTGCGATAAAAAAAACTGGTCTGTTCTACGTTTCGGTAATGTGAACGGACCCTAAATAGGAAGTAACAGAGCTGACTGCAGAGTGCGAGGCGAACGACAAACTGCTCTGCTGTCTGTTATTAAAAGTTTTAATTACCTCATTTGTAACATTAATTAACGTTACCGGAATCACAATAAACTTGGAGGTTATAATTACGAGTTTCGGTCAATCGAATTAAAGTTCCACAGCTGTAGAGCAAAGAATGGAATCTAGATAAATCCCATCTTATAAATTCAAAGATACATTTTGCATGTTGCTCTGAGATATAGTCCCAATCCGG